GCGCAGTGGGAGACAGAAAGCTCATGTGAAATTCACTCTCCCTTGTTCAAGCCAAAGGTGCATCATGCTTTCTGAGGAAACAGCATTTGTATCATTTTCAACCTTTAAAGTTTGAGCTGGCATTAGAGACATAGAACAGTTAAATTCAGATACATTATTCTAATGTGTGGGTGACTGTTTTCTGATTCTGTTTCCTAATGCTGAGGATAGCTTTTTCTTTCTTCCTGTAAGAATGTCACTATGTTCTCTATCAGAGCTTCGAGTGGGCTGTGGGAAGACATCTCACAGGTGATGGCATTGAGGCGACAGAGTGGAACAAAATTGTTCCAACTGGCATTTGCTACCTGAAGGTTGTTGTGCTTGCAGTGAAAATAATATGACATCCAGGAGAAAAAGGTGACATTTTGCCCACAAATATACAGTTAATTCACTTTACAGTATATTCTGTGAAGTGCTTTGAGACGTCTAGAAGATGTGATAAAGAGTTTTATCAAATGCAAGGATTATTATTATTATTATCAGCTGGAAATGTTGGTTTACATTCAACTCATTCCGCAGGGCCAACACATCACAGGATATGGAGTGAGCAATGTATTCAGTTCCAGCCAAGTGACACCAAATTTGTTGAAGGAAAGTCTCATATCTCAGCATTACGTTTAAGGCAGCTGGGAGATCAGATAAGACATCAAGAAACAAGAGCTGAGATAGTGATGGATTTGATACTGTGTAGAGAAGTTGTTTCCAAAACGGCAACTTTCCCAAAAATGTTTATTTTAATAACTTCACCTATTTTTGTCTTCCCAAGGTCTTTTGGTCCCTTCACTATTGCCAATGTTGCACAGTAATTAAGCAAGTTGAGAATTTTACAGTTTCTTTTATCACCGGGTTTCTAACCTCTTACATGTGTCAAAGTGTACACTGCTCTGGTAGCATGCTCCATTGCAAGACCACCACAGAAGTTGCCTCTGATAGCTTGGCCTCAAAGAGCCATAAATTTATGGATGTGAGGAAACAAATGTTTCTACACCTAAAGGAACATGCTGCCCATTCCACCCTTTTTCCAAGCTGACATGTTCAGTCCTTCTAAAACGTGCTTTTGAACACTTGCACCAAATCTACCAATAATGAAAACTACCGGTTTAACTTCTCACAAACTAACCGGGCCGATTTCCAGAGTAAAGTTACATTGCACCATATAAAAATACACCTAACGTGGTATAAAGTTAGGTTTTGGCAAGCTAAAGCACATTTGTTTATATCAAAAACAGCCTCTGGCATTTCTTGCATTCAACAAAAAATGCACTGCTTAACTCTTAAAATACCACTATTAACTCCTCTGACATCCCAACAGAATTTTGAGCACTTTGGAACTACTTCTTCCAAGTTAGAGTAATTGCTTATAGGGGCAAACACTGAATCTATGGTTTAGTGGAGAGGCCAATTTGATTTCCAATGATTCAGTGGACGCAAGGAAAGGAAATCTATAGCGTTGATTTCCTAAACGTCAGCAAAATGACTGACCTTGGTAAACAATGGTGGGTTGGAATCATTGGGATTGGGCATATAATAACAGTAAGTATAATAATCCTTACATTTGTTATAGCGTTATGCATGTCAGGGCATCTCAAAGCTTCACAGTATTCACTATAATTTGCAGTGCCTGTGTATTTTGGCAGGCTAAATAGTTACGGTGATAAATAGTTTCAGCTGCACCTTCACACAAACCAAATCAGAGTTCTCTTAAGCCCAAACCCCAAATATTCCTTCCAAAGAATTTGAGAATCCAGCGACTCATGAGCGCTCAACAATAACAACTTGCCTTTATACAGCGCCCTTCACGTGGGGTATCATCACAGAGGGCATGGGACCCACCCAACACCATGCCTCTAAATTATCTCGTTACCCTAAGCATGTGCACCAATGGGAATAAGCAGGGCAACTCCTACAGTCTGGCAAATTGACACAAAACGTGATGCTATTAGTTGGTCGTAACTTCAAGCCAAGACATTTCTGGAACAAAGGAGGAAAACTATTTCCTCTCTCAATGGCTCAGACGTGCTTCAACACAGCTAAGCTGGTAACAATGTGATGTATCTAATTACTCCATAGTGCACAATTCATGCAAAGAAACTTTAGCCAGCAAGGGAAAAAAATACCTTGCTGTATGTATAAATACACAAAAATCAATGGAATAATGTGTAACTGCCACCTTATCTGAGAGCAGCAGATTTTCCAGATTTATGAGCCCAGGATTTAAAGGGGAGTTAAAGATATTCCATTCAGATTGGGAAATCTATGTCCACTAATTAAACTTTTCAGATCCAGTCATCAATTGTAGACATGTTAAATGCTGCATTTCTTACATCAATTGTCTCACAATATGTTCAAAATGGGCTGGATTCAGGCCATCCGCTGTGCACAAAACATATTACAACTGTGCTGCATCCAATTATAATATGCAACAAAATAATCTCCAACAAGACATTGCTTTGATGGTGTTAACAGCTTTCATGCCACAGTCATTAAAATAAATTTCACTTTGACACTTCTGAATATATACAATACATAAAAATATTTAAATACACACACACACACCCTGAAAAAAATGCATTTCCAAAACTAATTTGAAAGCCAATGCACTCTAAATATCAGCTTGTCTTTTCTTCCATCCAGGACTGCATATATTGATGAAAAGTCGATCTGAGACTCACTTAACTCACTTTCCTTTCTCCATAGATGCTGCCTGACCTGCTGAGTGTTCCCAGCGACTTCCGTTTTTATTTCAGGTTCCCAGCATCTGCAGTATTTTGCCAACTGCATATATTGGGTTCACCTGACACCAGGACATGCTCACTCCTTTCACAAATGTCACTGGATTTGTACAAGCATTGCCACAAACACAACTTATAAAGAACTATGCCTGTCACATACTTAGTGCTATGAAATGAGAACCCTTGAGTCAGATTCTTCTCGAGATTTGTAAATCTTTACACATGTAAAGCTCTTGATTTAGAAATGGTCCCCAATGGGCCAAGTAGGTTACACTGACCCACATAGACCAAACTTTTGGAGAACTGAGTCAACGGACCTCAGCAGTGCAAATGTTATGTGTGCGTGTATGTGTCCATACACGCGCATGTGTGTGTGAGTGGAAAGTACAATTTATCAGCACCATAGGTGTTGAGGAGAAAATTTCAATCACAGATTAGATTACAGCCTTAAAATCCTGCTTGCTAACTTTACTGCTCAGAGAACACACAGTTTTAGTATCAAATTGCAGGTCACACTTAGTCCTGCAGCAACAAATCCTGTTAAAAATAATACTGCACTTCGAGTCGAAACTTCTCAAAGTGCTTCAAAACAACAAGTTACACTAAAATGTAATAATAGTCGTGTAAGCAAATGTAGCAACTGGTCCTTACCAGCAAAACCCCACAAGCATCAGTGAGATAAATAATCAATTCATCTATTTTAAGGTGATTTTTAAGGTGAGTCTGGACTCGGGAGGAATCTGGATCAGGACACTGGAAGAACTTCCTTTTCTTTCTCTTCTTGCTATTATTCATAATTATCAAAGCTTAACGAAGGATCATCCAGAGACATGATGAGCTGATGCTCAGGAAAATACAGCACTTCACAATGTTTTGTCCATTTTGCTTCTTGTCTAAACAGTGATATAGTTCTTTTGTGTCATTTTGGATGGATCGGAAATGGCCTTGCTCAATCCCTGAGGTCTCTTCCTATAGTAATTAGTAAATTAAAATTCTTAAGTAATAAAATAGAAAGGGATTTATCACACAAGATTTGATTAATTCCCTAATTTTTGTTGAGAATGCTCATTCCTCGCTCCATCCCTCCCATATTTCAAGACATATCTCAAAACATAAGTCTTTACTTTGCTTTCGGTCATCTTTCCCCATCCCTCCCAATCCCACCATAGCTCATGTGTCCATCAAGCACAGTGGATGTGCTTTGGGAAATCCTCCCGACATGAAAGATACTATATAAATTTAAATTGTATTGTCTATAAAGTAATAATAATAATCCTTAAATTTGGTCAAGGATCTTTCATGTCAGATCGACATTCCAAAGTGTATCACAGAATATACTGTAAACTAGTGTGACTGTGTGTTGTGTTGGCAAATGCAGCAGCCAATTTGCACACATCAGTGTTCTACAAACAGCCATGGAGTGAATGATCAATTTTATTTCTGGGATTGTTGGCTAGGACACCAAAAGAAACTCCCTTCTCTTTTCGAATAGTACCATGAGATCTTTAACATTCAGACCAATGTCACATCCGAATAATGGCACCATCAATTCAGCAAACTCCTAGCACTGTATTGGAGTGTCAGCTTAGACTATATGAGTTCCAAGTCCTGATGCAAAGCTTAAATCCACAACCTTCTGACTCAGAGATGAGAGCACTGCAAACTGAGCCAGCCTGATACACTCAGAGTACCGAGAGTATTGCTGGCAAGTGCATTATCAACATCTGGTCCCTGTATCAAGTCTCCTCCTGCATGGTGCAGAGTGGAAAGGCAACAACAAAAAGCTGATTTTATTATCGCAAAACATTATGGCGTAGTGAAATGCAATGCCAACACAGTTTTGCTACTATGCAAAACTAGGCAGAAGTTTTACCGTGACTAATACATAATATTATGGAGTTATGCGGAAAAAAAGCTGCTTTGTTCGATGTTCTTTCACCTCTCAATTCGCCATCAGTTAAACATGCTTTTACTGCAACATAAGAAACATCAGTGTGCAAGTCATCACACCACAGGCACCAATGCTAAATGAAGATTAATTGAATTGAAACTTCTCTTTAATGCATGTCTACCCTCTACCTAATGCATTGAAAAGCAAGACAAGGACACATGCCAACAACTCACCACCACAGATAAAACACGCAGGTGGTACATCACTGGTTTTAATGTAGATCTATAGTTAGTGTAAACCTTCTTCCACAACCATATTGATCAACATGCTGCTCTTACCTGGTGTGACAGTGAGGTTGCTTTCCGAGCTGTCCTGCCCCATTCTATTGGTAGCTGTACACTTATACTGTCCAGAGTCTGATGGCTTGACTTTCCCTATCCGAAGCTCGGATGCCTTCCTGTAAAATTACAATAAGCAAGGAACAGTTTGTAAAGGAAAAGTTAAGAAAAGAATACTGGCGAAGTCAAAGCTCTGTCAGAAACAGTTACAGAATTGTTCAGAATGTTTACTATGTTGTTGTTTCAGTTGTCTGTAACAAGAAGGGGATTGCAGTGCTGAACAACCAGTTACTGAAGCCAAACCAGTCATCTCCAGAGTTACAGTCTGTCAACAGTTACAAAAATAATCATTTCACCCAGGTTTTGTTTCCATTTTGCCGACAAAATACACAGTCACTCCACTTTACAGTATATTCTGCGAAGCACTTTGAGACGTCTCGATGACGTGATAAGGTGTTATATCAAATGCAAAGATTATTATTAGTAGTAATAGGGCACTTTTAGTCTTAGCTTGCAAACAATTGCATTTTTAACATTTATTAGTTTGTGGTGTTTTCGATTCAGTTTCATAAATAATAATTAGTGCCATATCAGACCGTTGCAAGAGTACAAATTTCAAGTGTTAACGCAATTCCATTTAGGAAAGAGGTCAATCAACATGAGGGTCCCATCTGTAGAGAGAGTCAATATCTAGACCCTCTAGAATCTCAGCTTTGGAACTCATTGTATCTGTTCCATTGGACCTCTTTCGAGGCTGGGTGGAGGGAGCCTGACCTGGGAATCCTTCAAACTAGCAGGGGGTGAAAAGAGTGGCAGTGCGAACATTTCCTAAAATGTTACCTCTCATCTTCAGATAGATTCTTGGTAAGCAAGGATAATAGTAATTTTTTTTTGAGGGATTATTACCCCGGAAAACGTAAACGAATACCCTGATTTGTGGGCTACAAAACAACCAATGATTATGTAATTATCACGCCATTGAGATGTCTCAAAGTGCTTCATAAAACTTACTGTGAAGTGTGTACACTACTGTGTAGTGACTGCACATTTTGTAGGCGAACACTGCAGCTAATTCACCAACAGCAATGTCCCACAAACAGCCACGAAGTGAGTGACCAATTTTATTTGGAGGATTGTTGGCCAGGACATTGGAAGAAACTTGCTTCCATTTTGAGTAGTGCCATGGGATCTTTAAAGTCCACCTGAACAGACACATGTGATCTCGGTTTCAAGTCTCCTCCGAAGTCTGGCACCTGCGACAATGCAGCATTCCTCCAACACTGCACCAGAACGTCAGCCCAGACTGTGAGTTCAAAGTCTCAAGATGGGGCTTGAATGCACAGCCTTCTGACTCAGAGGCGAGAGTGCTATCAAATGAGCCAGACTGACACTAGATGCCAGGATACTAACAGATATGGAGAAAAGCCAGACAAACAGAATTAAAACATTTGCCAAAAATTATTGGCAAGGTGCGAAAGCAATGGGCTGAATGGCCAAGTCCTGATAGTCAAACTCTACAAACAAATACAACAAATATGAAATCTATCCTGCATATAAAGTCTCTTTGAAACAACTGTGCTTTAACAATGCCTTCTTCCTCCTCTTGGTTGATCCATTCATTGGGTTGAGTTGCCTGGTTCCTCAATGTGCATATATGTTGTGACTCATAAGTCACTGTGTTGGGAGTAGAAGATGGGATAGGATAGGTAGGTAATCAAGATTACTTGTGGTGTGAGGCGACATCCTACCAATTGGTGGCAGAAATGTATTGTGCCAGTGGGGCTGAAGGGAGGATCTTTAAACATCCTATCAGACCCAAATGCACCAGAGGTAACATCAAATATTAATTAAAAAAACTCATTGAATTATTTATGAATGACTGCACATTGAGTACTTTTGCCCACCAAATGAAATATTCTAGAATAAACTTGCTCTGAATCACACGCCACCGAGGTATACAAAGGAAAATGGGTAAGGTCTAAGAGACATTAAACAGGAAACAGGAGTAGGAAGGTTGTGGGTTCAAAATCCTTGTTGTGACTTGGAACTCACATAGTCTAAGCTGACACTCCAATGCAGTGCTGGGGGCATGCTGCATTTTTAGAGGTACTGTACTTTGTATGAGCTGTTAAACTGAGTTCCTATCTACCTGATTGGGTAGATGTTAAAGATCCCATGGCACTATTCAAAAAGGGAAGGGTGTTTTTCCTCGTGTCCAGGCCAACAATCCCCAAAATAAAAAAAACGGTTGCTCACTCCATGGGTGTTTGTGGAACCGGTTGCTGTGTTCAACCAGAAATTACACAGTCATATCACTTTACAATAACTGTGAAGTGCTCTGAGATATCTCAACAATGTAGTGGGAATCAAAGATACCATCCTAAGCGCAGGCAAGTGCAGCAATTGGTCATTTCAATTGTGCGTGCTAACTGAGCTCCCTCACATGATCGGCCCCAGAAACATTTCTGAGCCAATCTCCTTTCCACTAACCCAGCAATGATGTCATCTGCACTCAAACCTTTCCACAAAAATATTTCGAACAGATCAATGGATAAAAATTCAATTGATTTAAATGCTGAAGTTTTAGAGGTAGTCAATTTAACCAGCTAAAACCTCACAGCTTACCATTGAAAGCACCGTGGCTTGTCCAGCTAGGGCCACCCTACCCGTTACGGCTTTGGCTTGTAGGGTTATCGGGAGCTGAGTGGGAAAAATCCAGTAATTGGTTTCCCCTTCCATGTCTTGCTGATGAGCCAGGCTGGGCTGGGCTGTCATTAGTTGTGTCCAGGTATACTGTGGACCCGCCTGGCTCAAGAATTGAACTAGAGTCTGACACAGAGGGCTGGCTCGGTTCCGACAATCCATTACTAAACATCCATTACTGAATTCGCTCCAAGGAGACCCTGTTTACTTCTCCCCACTGCCACTCCAAAACCTCCCGAGGAGAAGAGTCACTAATTTTTTCAGCCCTCCGAGACTCTACCCCATGTGAAGGATGATATATTATTATTATAATATAAATGGAAGTTGTTGTAATGAATCTTTGCTTCAAATTTCTCCCATTGTCATGACTGGCAATCCACCAAATAAAATTGATCATTCACTCCATGGCTGTTTGTGGGACATTGCTATGTGCTAATTGGCTTCCAAATTTGATCACCAATCAGTTCTGTTTCAGATGCTGAATCCCACAGCAACTTCAAACAGCAAAAGGAGAGAATGGTCGGACCTCGTTATTGAAGAAAATCCCTTCTTGTTAATAACATTGGATAGTTCTCTGTGAATCTGAGACATTAATCCCAGAGATCAGACAACAAAGACAAACTATCCAAACTTTGTTCATTTCAACCTCCTCAACCAGATTACTGACTTGAACCTTTGACAAAGCACTTGGGATTTTAAAAGGGGCCTTGATGGCAAGAATCACTTTTGATCTTCTCTACATTGAGTTCCTTGAGTGGATATGGACTTATCAACCAAAAAATAATTCCCACCCCCACCTTTAAATTGACCCAAGACTTCAGGGTACCTCTAACGCTGAGGATCAGACAGTCTGTTCTGACAACCCAGCAATAAAAGGGCAGCTTTTCTATAAAGAAAATAATAAACAGCCTCTGGCCTGACTTATTGAAATACATCCAAAACACACATTTTAACGATTTCAGAGTTTGCAATGAGTACCTTATAAAATCCAAGCGCAGAAAGACACAAGTACAGAGATTGCCATGAACTAATACTGTCTTGAGACATCCTCCCGATGTGAAAGGCGCTTTACAAATGTAATTTTGTGGTTGTTCTACTATTCTACTATCCTTCTGCTACCTTTTCCTCCCTTCCCTCCAGTCTCTGGCACCTAAGCCATGACCGCCATCCCTCCTCTCCATCCCCCGCGCTGTCTCCTGTGGGCCGCAGGCTGATGCTGCCCCACTGATCACTCGCTCCCGCTCTCTGCATGTACGTTTTGGCTGCCGCCCTGAACCGGGCCCCTGAAAATATTCCTGCTCCCACCCCCTCACATTTCGTTACTCCCACTTGGTGTTTCTCTCCCATCACCCTCCTCGCCTCCTCTCTCTCTTAGACTCCACCATCACCTCTCTCTGCTCCAGCCTGGGCATCCTTCGCCAGGCTCCCATTGTTGGTTGTCCCAGAACAGCCACCCCAACTGTCCCATCGCTCACTCTCTCTGCAGCAACCGCCATTGACAGGCAAACAGCCTTTAACCCTCCCTTATCCATACCCTCTCCAACACTACTCCCTCCTCAAACTCCATGGTTACTTCTCCCCATGACCTCAAATCCTCTTTATACCACTCTCCCCATCACTGACCCCCACCAGCAAACCTATCCGTATCTCCCTCCAAAATGTCCACTCCTCTCCAACAAAGCCCTAACTATCCATGACCTCATCCTGGATGAGCACATTGATATTCTTGGGCTTACAGAAACCTGGCTCTCCCCCAGTAACCCCGTTCCTCTCGTTGATGCCTTCCATCCTGGCTGCACCTTTCGCCACACTCCTCACCCCAGGCAACATGGCGGTGGGGTGGCCCTCATCTCCCAGGCTTCCCTTGGTCTATCCCCCTATTCCTCTGGCTGTTTCTCCTCCTTTGAGTACCTCATCCTCTACCATCCCTGCTCTCTCTCCTTCAAAATCCTCCAAGTTCATTGCTCCCCCCCAAACCTCCTGGCTCCTTCCTCTCTGATGTCTCCTCTCTCTTCTCATCCCTGTCCCTCTGTACTGAACACCTGGTTATAATGGGTGATTTCAACCTCCACCTAAACTCTCCTTGCATTACCTCCTCGGATTTCACTGCCCTCCTCTCCTCTCTAAGCCTTACCCTCCACATTAACTCACAGACCCACAACCGTGGCCACCCCCTCAACCTTGACATTTCTGACCTGTTAATCACAGACAAGGCCATCTCGGACCACTTCCTCATCTCCTTCTCCTCCCGCATTCCCCTCCCCTCTTCCAAACCCTCCCTCATTTCTTTCCGCCACTGAAAAAAGCTTCCCCCTGAGTCCCTCACAAATACCCTCTCTTTGTCGGACCTCCTCTCCCTCTGGCCCTCCACCCGCAGCGATCCTGATGCAGCATCAAGCTGCTGAAAGACCGTCTCTCCACAACCTTTAATTCCTTGTCTCCCCTGAAATCCAGGGTTGTTTCCAAACCCACCCGCTCCCCCTGGTACAACAGTCATCTCCACTCACTCAAAACACAAACCCAGATGCTCAAGCATAGATGGCAGAAATCTGGCCTCATGATTCACCGCCAGCTGTGGCTCGAGCACCTCCGCACCTACCACTTCTCCCTTTCACAGGCCCAAACTGACTTTTACTTCAAAGCCACCTTGGAGGCAATAATCCAATAACGCTGTTTTCCACCATCCATCACCCCGTTCGTGCACCTCCTCAAGCCCTCTAATCTACTTTGCCCCCTCCAGTACCAACTCCGGGTCCACCGATGTTCTATCAGCTTGTCTGGCAGACCTCAAGGCCTGGATGACTGTAAACTTCCTGTAGCTGAATAGGGACAAGACGGGAGCCATACTCCTCGGCTCCTGTCAACATCTTCACTCCTGCTGATGTAAACGCCTCAACCACCCTGGGCTCTTTCTCAGATTCACCGAACCAGTGCGCCCCCAACTGTCCTTCCTCCCCCACATCCGGTCCCTGACTAGGACTGCTTTCGTGCACATCCGCCACACTGCCCGCCTCTGACTGTACCTTACCCACAAATGCAGCTGAAACCCTTGTGCATGCATTTGTCACCTCCCGCTTGGATTACTCCAACGCACATCTCGTCGGTTTCCCCAGCTCCACCATTCACAAGATCAGCTCATTCAAAACGTTGCCGCCTACATACTGACCCGGACCGAACTCCATACCCACATCTCACCAGTTCTGGCCCAGGCTCCACCTGCTCCCCATCACCAAATGGATCAACTTCAAGATCCTCACTCTCGTGTTCAAATCCATTCACTCCCTGGCACCTCTCCGACCTCCTCACTCCCCAAACCACCACCCGGTGCCTCTGCTCGACTGGCACTGGCCTCCTGCTCATCCCTCACACCCTCTGCCTCACCATCAGAGATCGTGCTTTCAGCCACTATATCCGAAAATTTTAGAACATTCTCCCTCAATCCCAATACCTCGCTCCCTCTGTCCCCTCCTTTAAATCCAACCTGAAAACTTTTTGTTCGACAGTGCTAATGGCCACCTCCAACCTGCCCTCGGCTCAGAGTCAGGCTACACCACCGTTATGGGCTCTGAGATGCTACCCTGCATGGAGGGCACTATATAAGTGCAAGTTGTTGTTGTTGTTGTATAATGCGTCTCAAACAAGTAGCGTCTTTGAGCGGTTTATAACAGTGTGATTTGACCCACCAGGAGGTGACCGAAAGCTCATGAAAGAAGAAAGAAATTCAGCAGAAACACACAGCACCTGGTGAGAACAGCCTGCTCCGAAATTGACTCTAATAGTTTTTTTGGTCTTTACACCAGAGGATACCTTAGAGCAATTTAAGGAACACAACAGAGTTAGATGAAGCAATGGTTAGACTGCAGTCATATGGTCTTAAGGGAATAGTCCATAGAGGCTCATAAAAGTTGTATTTCCCAGTGACTGCAGGAGATGAATGTACACTGGATTATTGGTGCACTGGGAGGAAAGAAAGAGTTTAGTTTTATTCGGCACCTGGTTTAATATTAAAGCTTGAGAGAAATGTGGTGCAGAGCTGTGGGGAAAGGGGAGGTGACACAGACACAGAGGATTTCAGCTTCTGTCAATCTGAAATCTAGGCTTAAATAGAGCTGTGGGACAGAAGTGGAGAGGCATGCAAATGACGCATGATTTTTTTGTTGATGGAATACATCTAACTGAGAAGTAAATTCAATGTGCGATACAGGGGAAAAGTAAGAAGGTGGGATTAATAAAAAGTTGCAGAGCACTGACACAGACATGGGTTGAAGAATTTCCTCTTTTGCAGAAAATGTTAATGAGTGTGCTAATGTTAAAGTTATTGTCTGAGTGAAGAATTTAAATCCATGCAGCAGTAATATTCATACAGCAATCTCCCAGTTCATTGCGACTCTACCATCCTTACAACACACCCTGGTTATGTATTCACTAATACCATTCTCACAACACACGGTCATTTACTCAACATAATAATAATAATCCTTGCATTTGATATAACGCCTTATCACGTCTTTGAGACGTTTCAAAGCGCTTCACAGAATATACTCTAAAGTGAACTGACCATATTTTGTGGGCAAAACGTGGCAGCCAATTGTGCACAGCAGCGTCCCACAAACAGAGTGACCAATTTCTTCTTATTATTTTTTTTGGAGGAATTATTACCCCCGGAAAAGCAATCTGTCAATCGACTAACATCTGGGTTCCTACTTACTGCTAGGTAAACAGAGGCGTGTGGAGTAGGGAAACTTGCCCAACATTTTGCCCTGTCGGGAATCAAACCCAGGTCTTTTGTTGGCGAGGCGAGCACTCTAACCACAACATAGTAATAATAATAATAATCCTTGCATTTGATATAGTGTTTTTCACGTCTTCTAGACATCTCAAAGTGCTTCATAGAATAGACTGTAAAGTGAATTGACTGTATATTTGAGGGCGAAATGCGGGTGCCAATTGCACACAGCAATGTCCCACAAACAGTCGTGGTTTGAAGTGACCAATTTATTATTGGTTTATTTTCTTGAGGGATTATTATCAGGCGTGTGGAGTAAGGAAACTTGCCCAAGATTTCACTCTCCCGGGAATCGAACCCAGGTCTCTCGTTTGCAAAGCGAGTGCTCTAACCACTGAGCTACAGGACTCCACATACACCCATGACTAATATCCCTTTCAGAAGTAAACTTACTTTCTCTTTTTCTTAATCTTGATGTTGTCAGATTCTCCATTGATCAGCTCGTCACCATCCTTAAACCACTTGAAGGTGGGATTTGGGGATCCGGAAATGGTTTCACATTTCAATACAAACTTCATGCCTTCATTCTTCACTTGATGTACTGACATCTTTTTGATTTCAGGAGCCTTACCTGTAAGACAAAGGGTTGGGCTATAGGTCAATGGTCTACTCCGTAAAACAAACAAACAAGGTAACATCAATAATAATCTTTGTTCTTGACATAGCATCTAGAACATTGAAGTTAGAATAGCACTGCACAGTACCACCATTAACTATTTACATTTACGCAGTTACATAGAATGTAATGTACAGCACGGAAATAGACAATTCATCCCAACTAATCCTTGGGATGAAGGATATGTTATGTTTATACATTATATGAACGTCCACCCCTCCTATACCCCTCTACTCCTTTTTCCTTTATGCATATATCTGGTTTATCCTTAAATACATAAGCCTTCATGTCCACCTGGAATGACAGGCCACTCCCAGCTCGGGTTCCCATCCAACACAGTTAAGCGCCTCGAGGGCTCTTCCCTTTATGAAAGCCTTATAATGTTGTTGAAATGTCTCAAAGTGCTTCACAGAATATACTGTAAAATAAATTTACTGTATATTTTGTGAGCGAAATGCGGCAGCCAATTGTGCACAGCAGCGTCCCGCAAGATGTTATATAAATGGAAACTGTACTGCATAAGTGAATGACTCCCATTAAACAGGTGATCATGACAGGCTTGACGGAAAGAAAGACAAAGTGGTTTGCAACACAAAACATGATAAGCAAAATGTCTCAATTTCAGTGCAAGTCCCTCAAATTGCAAATGGATCAGTTCTAACATCGGGACAGGTGGTTCAGAGCAATGCGCCACTGAAACATGACACAAGATCTTGTGATGAATAGGAAAAGGCCTGAATTCGCCTTAATTTGTAAGAAGTCAATATTTAGAACCTTTCAAGTAGCCAAAACAGAGCTTTCTTTAATCGCTTCAGTTACAGGGATACCTGAAAGCCATTTATACCCAGCTTCTGTATTAGTGACATCACAAGCACATCTGCCACTGCTCCCCAGAACATCTGCAGATTAATATCCCACGTGTTCTTCACTCATGAGCAGTGTCATTCCATGGCACAGAAGCTAAGTACTTTGCTCATTGAAATTAACATTGAAATCAAAATTTAAATTTAAATAATGCCTTTTTATTAATAAAAAAATTCATGTGTTCAAAACCTCGGAAGCGAAAAGTTTCATCTTGTTGGCAAACTGTTATATAACTGTTATAAATTTTCTCATGTCATTACTCACTCCCCCCCACCCCCAGCCCCTACAGAAACACTCTTAGCTATCCTCGTCCCAGTTTGCAAGGATAATAATAATTCTTGCATTTGATATAGCACTTTTCAAGTTGGGAGGACATCTCAAAGCACTTCAGAGGATTTACTGCAACATGTAGTGACTGTTTATTTTGTTGGTGAATGCCTCAGTCAATTTTACACTCATCAATGTCCCATGAATCATAGAATCATAGAATATTACAGCACAGAAGGAGGCTATTTGGCCCATCGTGCCTGTGCCAGCTCTTTGAAAGAGCTACCCAATCAGTCCCACCCCATTCTTTACCCATACCACTGTCATTTTTTCCTTTTCAAGTACCTATCTAATTCCCTTTTGAAAGTTGTTATTGAATCTGTTTTCTCCAGCCTTTCAGAGTGAGTGACAAATTTTATCTATGAGATTGTTGGCCAGGACAAACTCCCTTCTCTTTTTGAACAGTGTCATGGATTTTTTAGCATCCACCTGGATAGGCAGACGGGACCTCGGTTTAACGTCTGATCCAAAAGAAGGCATTTCTGACAACGCAGCACGCCCGTAGTACTATATGGGAGTGTCTGACGAGACTCTGAGTTCAATGTGCCAACCGCGAGCTTGAACCTACAACCTTCTGACTGAAAGATGAGAATGCTGCCAACTGAGTCAGGCTGACAGCTGTTTTTTAATGATAGGGAGAACCTCTTCTGGAGTCATTTTTCCCTGAGTTGTTCCATCCACATCATGTACTTCCTCTGACCAGGACAGCATGGTTGGGCGAGCAGGCTCTCTCTTCCAATTCTACACTCCCCTTTCTCCGTGTTGTCTCCTAGCTGATGGCAACTTGCTGTTGTGAGATCAGTGAGGAGGGTTACATGAGCCTTGCATTTATGTCTCTGTGCCACATTGCCCCCAAAGCTTTTAAGGTATACAAGGTCACTTCAGTCATTTGGTGGCAAATATTTGGTGGGTGTGAAGGACCCAGATCAGCAACTGATAGCTGTAAACACTGAGCAAATACATATTCATAAACATAGAATGTGCAGAATATTCCAAGGTAACAACAACATCAAAATTACATTTATAGAGCGCCTTTCACGTTGGGAGGACATCCCAAAGTGCTGAGTAATAATAATAATCATTTCACTGCAATATTGGTCACATGCACCAGCAATGGTGCAAGCATTTCCAGGAACCTATGACTAAAACTCCCTATTGATTTTCAGAAAGCAGTAAATCACATTTCACTCTACAGTACCTATTAGGAAAAAGCCTTACATCTTTGCACTTCATTGCAGGGAGGGGAAAGCAGGGGTTCTTGTCACAAAATAATAGGATTCAAAAGGCTAATGCCTTCCTGAAATGGTGTTTGGTAATGCCACCCTTCCCCCTCTCCCCCTCCCCCCCCCCTCCCCACCACCACCCACCCTGACCCCCACTTCTTTATTGCTTGTGCTTCAGGAAGGAAGAGACCAGTACTGGCTCAGTAACATAATGCCCGTCATTTCAAATGACACTGCATTCCTGTGGTTTGCAGACATCACTAGATGTAAATCGCTTTGGTTTTATTCCACTGCTTTAAAACTGAGGCTGCGCCAATCTTCAGATTGGCGAGAATTAAATGCCTGAAATTCCACCTCCTCTTAGCCCGTGAGACCATTTCATCTTCAAATTTGAGAATTTTAAGATGAAATTGTGACAGATTCCTAAATTCAGTCCTAATTTGGAAGTCAGTTTTCCGCATCTTTTAAAAAATAGCCAGCTTACCAAATTCATATCAAATTTGCCTCTTTAATGCCATGATTTTGTGTCTATAACCTGCCCTGATGGCTCAGTTGCTGAAGCCACTGTCTGGTCATGATTCCGATTCTGTGCCGAGTAATAATAATAATAATCCTTGCATTTGATATAGCGCCTTAACACGTCATCAAGGTGTCTCGAAGCGCTTCACAGAATATATTGTAAGGTGGTTCGACTGTTTATTTTGTTATCTCTCTCAGTCAGGCAGGGAATGGCGGGTTGCCTCAACACCTCTGGGTCCGAGAAGAAATAACAACAATAAAGCTGATTTTCTGGCCCGGATTGGTACCAGGAGCCTGGTTGGAAAGTCTATCTGTGACCTTGTTAAATAAGGACAAAGAATGGTAAAGAGCAGGATGGAATAACCCAATGATACTTGATGTCTGGGATTACATGTGAATGACCCTTTAGGTAAAGTAACGAAAGGGCTACCAAAATCTGCAGAACAAAATTGGGGAGGACAAGTTTCCAGGGCCTAGGGTGAGCGAGCGGGGGAGTGGGATTGATTTGGATAATAATAATAATAATAATCCTTGCATTTGTTATAGCGCTTTTCACGTCGGGAGGATGTCCTAAAGCGCTTCACAGAACACACTGTAAAGTGAATTGACTGTATATTCGTGGACGAACGCGGCAGCGAATTGCGCACAGCAATGTCCCACAAACAGTCGTAGATTGAAAATGACCAATTTATTATTGTTTTTAGTTTTGGAGGGATTATTATTAGGCTCTGTGTGGAGTAAGGAAACTTGCCCAAGGTTTCGCCCTCTGCCTGGAATTGAACTCAGGTCTCTCGCTTGCAAAGCGAGTGCTCTAACCACTGAGCTACAGGATGGGTTTTTTCAAAGAGCTGGCACAGATACGATGGGCCGAATGGCCTCCCTCTGTGCCCTATCATTCTATGAAAATATCATCAGTCAGGCTTTCAGGAGAAGAGAATTGGAAAACAAAGAGAAAGGAACTAGCAAATCTCTTTTCATAACCTTGACATTCAAACCTTGTGAAAGGGAGATGGAGGAGATGGAAAAAGACAGAGATAGAGGGGATGGAGGGGCAGAGGAGACTGTGTCAATATAGATCCTCAGGACATCAGCCTCTGGGAAAATCTTAAATTCAGTTTAGATTTGGAAGCCATAGTTCTTAACAAGAAACCATCTTCTAAATTAGAATTGAATTTAAAGTTCTCCACAGTTCTTAGCAGAGGACTTGGGTTTGATTCCCAGGCTGGGTGAAACATTGGGCAAGTTTTCTTTCTCCATATACATGCTTGTGTTTACCTAGCAATAAGTAGGAACCCAGTTGTTAGTTGATTAGCGGATTACTTTTCCCGGTATAATAATTCCTTCAAAATGTATAAATTTTTTAAAAAATAATAATTTGGTCACTTAATCCACAACTATTTCAGTGCAATTGATTGCCGCATTTCGCCCACAAAATATACAGTCAATTCATTCACTGTACAGTATATTCTGTGAAGCGCTTTGAGACGCCTCGAAGACGTGATAAGGTGCTATATTAAATGCAAGGATTATTATTATTATTATAAGCTTAATTAGCAAACATCATGAGATTTCAGGCCATGTGTAAGGCTGAACGAATGGGTTTGTGGATGAGTTTGTAGACTGAACCTGCAGGCACACTGGATATGTGAGGTGCACCTTAGGGAAGATGCACTGAACCGAGGGGTTAGATTTGTACACAAGGCAGTGATGCTCAGAATGTCCCAGACAAATGAAGAGGGAAGATATGAGAGTCGTGTCTGGGCGAGGGTTATTTGTGTGAAATTGCAATAGCTTCTAGGGTGACAAATGGCACATTAACATTTGCTTTCGACGTGTCATCGTTTAGCTCCAATTTAAAATTCTAATTAAAGTAATTGCTCCAAACAAAATAAATTCCCACTCGGTGTAGAAAGAGACGATCATGCCTGTAGTGTGAGAGGAAGATTAGTATTTATGACAAGCCTCTAGTCGCTTGAGGATATATAGATTGGGGAGGGAGGAAGTGGGGGGGGGGCGGTGGGG